ACTAGCATAGTATTTTTTCATTAGTTTTAATTTCATTTTTCTTTAATGGTATTCTGACAGTTAGAAGTGACTGGATCCTACTTCATCAGTTCTTAATTTGTCGACTTATTTTTTGTCAGTTTGCCATACTGTGAAAGTTTTTGGGGTTAGAAATCAGATCTAAGGAATTTTTTTAAGTTGAGGATGAAATATTTTTTGTGACTTTCTTTGTGTTGATATTTTCCTTCTCCAATATTTGAATAATTTTTACAATTTCAGTCTACCGTGACACTGCTTTCATTTTGGTTTGAAGCTGTTTTAAACGTACTGGCTAGACAGAGACCTGACTTTGAACTCTATTCTAGAGGGGTTTTCAGTCATCTACTTTGCATAGCTTACAGAACGCTAGGAAGCTCCTGTCTCAGTCTTGTTCAGTCAGAACTGAGGAAGTAGAAGAAAGCATTGGGATGGGATATGGAGCTGTAAATAGGAATAGCCATTTAGGCCCAAGATGCAGAGGTGCAAGACCGCAACTTGAAGTTACTGTGGTATGGTGAGGTGTGTGGAAAATATGGGATACAATTTTACAGTGAGCTGGATTGCAGTGGTTCCCCAGAAGGAACAATCTTTCTAATATTTAAGTTTGATTTCATAGATTCAAGTCAGTTGCATCCTTTACCTGCTTTTCTGCTTCTCCCTAAATCCCTCTCCTAGAAAATTCCTGTAGCTACACTACTTTTTTTTTTTTTTCTGCAGCTAAATTTTAGGACTTGTAGCAATATTTTTTTTTTACTACCTAATACATTGGCCCTAATAGTGAGATAAATATTGAGCAGTCCATTATTGTGCATAGGTAGTTCTAGGATTAATGAGTGTATATGCACAGGCAAGAGAATGAAAGCAAATCTGTCTACAGAATTAGGCTATATTTAAGGATACTGAAATTTCTGCCAAACAAGGAACACAGTGAAATTTCATCTGCCATTTATGTTGTCCTTAATGTTCTTTAATTCAGCAGACAAGATAGTTTGGTTATAATTAAGCTTTCCTAATATTGTTGTTCCCCAAGATTGTGGTGTAAATCACTTTACTTTGTAGTTCATCTGTAGTACATCTTCAGTCTCCATTTTTCCTGTATAATTCTTCCATAGACAATCTCTGGGATGCAGGCAGACTTCACACTGCCAGTTGCTTCTCATGCATGCAATATAATTTTGAATACATGCAGTTGAAATTTGTTTTTCCCCAAGTCTTAGTCAGGTTTTCTGATTTCCCTGTGCTGTTTCTTCCTTCAGTGTGCATGCCCTTCCTGCTGCGGTAGCAAATGTTTCTTTCCCAAAATAATTCTCATGGCCATTTCTATTACTCTTGACTGCTTTTTCAGTAGGTAGACCTGGCAACTTGGCTGAATGGATCAACAGTTGCTGCTGAAGGACAAGGGGCAATGTGCACACTGAAAGAAAAGAAATTATGTTTAAACCTAAGAAAAAGGGTTTTTTATGTTGTTGTGACTGAGCACTGGTTGAACACTGAACACGTCTCCCAGGGGAGAGGATGGAGTGTCTGTCCTTGGAGATATTTAGAAGCTGACCCGTAGCCACATGCTTGAGCTGACCCTGCCCTGAGCAGAGGGCTTGGACTGGATGATATTCAGGGTTCCTTCCCACCCCAGACATTTTCTGAATCTCTGAAGTGAACTGGTTTGTCTTATCTGCAATTCACTTCAAGACCACCGCATCTTGTCGTTTCTTTGTACCAAGTTATGCAATGAGGCAAGTCCTAGTAATTCTTTCCTCCCTATCTTTTCACCGTTTTCTCCCCCAAAAATTCAAAAGAAACCCTAATCAGCCTTTAAAATCTTGGACCATATTGCATGAGTCTTCAGAAGGATACCTTTCTACTTGTGTTCCAGATATATTCAATTTTGCTGTTCAGGCTTTACTATAACAAAACATGGTTGAGAAAAGATGTGTTCAAGACTTGTTGCACAAAGGATTAGTTAAATAAAGATTTTACTTGGGAGAAAATATGTTTTTCCAAACCATCCTGTTAAAAAAGATTTAAAAGGAGAATGAGGTAGCATAAGAAATGGTAGCTCTTAAGTGCAAGAGGTTTGCAGGTTACCTCTCCCATGATTGTAACTCTGTGTTTTGCAGCTGACTTTCTATTGGAATGAATGAGCTAGTAAAGACCTAAATTTCCCAAATTGGATAAAGCCAAACCCATAAATAATGAAATATACATACTGGTATAACATTCAACTAGCATTCCCAATCAAACAAAAGATATATCTTAGGAAACCATTAACCCACTGAGAAAACCATCTCATGAGACAGATTGGGAGCACTGGATGAAATCATAACCCCAGTGTATTGAGGTTCATAAGCATAAATTGGAAGCCCATTCCAAACTCTGTTTTTTCTTTTATTTTTTAAACAGTGTGCAAAATTTTACTCTTAACTTTTCTTTCAGTCCTACTATGTGGTGTAATGAATAGCACCTTCAACAACAGCACTTTTATTACTGTACTTTATGGCCGTAGAAGAGCTTATCATAGTCATACACTAATCAGTTATCTTACTGATAAGTAGTTTATATGTTTACTTGTGCTGTGAGGTCTCACCCTAATAATACCTATGATTATAAACCTTACACACAACATGTTCCACCTAAAAGTTAATTAGGGGGATAAAAAATCTTCAGTGTCATTAATTTGTCCTATATGCTGCTTTTTGTTCTCTTTTTTAAATTGAGGAAAAAATTCTCATGCTGCAACAGACTAATTTGGAGTACAGTGCCAATACTTGATGTAACATTAATCTGACACAAGTTTTGGAGACTTTGCACCATATTATTTTCATTATGAGAGAAAAGGCTACACCACCATGAAGCCCCTTTATGTTTGCTAACGCTATTTATAAACATGGTGTTTAATGGTGTGGTAGCTAAAACTGCATTGAGGCATTCCTTGTCTTTCAGGAGCAGAACTTGCTGCTTTACCTAGGGACACCTTTCCTTAACATTTGTTCTTCTTGGCCTTTTAAAACTTGTTTTATTTGTTTTGCCTCCCGTGTTACTGGGGTTGTGCAGGTTTCTTGCATCTGGTGTTAGTAACCAGGACCTTTCCCATTCCAGCACTGGCTCAGTGCCAGAATAGGTAGTTGCACATTTCTTCCTCTGCCCTCTGCTGGTTTAGGAACCTTCTCTCATTCTTCATACCTGTTACATATTATTTTATATACTACCTCATATTGGTGTTGCTTGTCACCGTCTTAAAAGAAAACAGCTCATTCCTGCTTTGGATTAAAAAAAATGGAATTGTTTAAGTAACAGTGGAGTTTTGATCACGACTGAAAAAATAAATTGCAAATTCCTTGTCATAGACAGTTCTTTCAAAGATTGTATTTCAACAGAGAGGATGTTTTAACTCAGCAGCATTTTGCATCACTTTCTGTATTATATCATAAGTGAGAGTTATTTTTCCCTTTGTTTCCAGCTTCTGAAATGGGCAGACCTAATTTCACAGCCACCTTTGTTAAAAAAATTGGCAAAAATAACATTAAAAACAATAGAACACTCCACTGTATCTGATAGTGGGGAGTAATGGACCTGTGCACGTTACATACATAGTGAAAAGTAGTTTCAAAGTATTGATTCCTTTACATCCATTTTTCATACACCTCTCATGGCTCAGTTCCCCCCCACCCCCCGTTTTTATCCTTGCGTACTCCACAAAACATTTCAGACTTAGCTGAATTAAAAATGAAACACTCTGAGGAGCAGTGCTCCCTCAGGTATATATGAATACGAGGCACTGCAAATATTTGTTGGTAATAAATCTTAGAACATCTCCTCAATGTATTTGATTTCCTGGAGGAATTTTTCATGAAATTTGGGGAAAAAGACACATTTGCAATTTAAAAAAAAAAAGGATGAAGTTAAAGTGTGAATTGTGGTTAAGCCACAAGGGTTTATCTTACACATAGGAGACTCTTCTATTATACTCAGCTTTTTAAATTTTAAATAAGTAGTGTTTGTTTATGTAGGCCTTTTTATAGATTCAAAGTTGTAATAAGCTTTTTTTTGAGGCCTCATTTTTTAAAAACTGTTGCATTATATTTTAAATATTGTCAAAATTCAATGAAGTTTCATGAAAATTTAGCTAGCTTTATTAATTGTTTAAAAAAGGAGTTGGAAAATTTCTCGTGTGTTGTGTTTCTTTATCCTATTTTTTGGAAGACTGGATACTTGAATGTGTTAGTTAAATTTATTGGTTTCTGTTGTTTAAAATTGAAATGCTTCTTTAGCATGCTACATCTTTCTGAAAACATTTCTCATATTTATCTTTGGGATTACTAATGCTATGGACGTGATGAGTACCTGTGTAATGGTGACCATGTTGTCACTTGCCCTTAAATAACTTCAGTATTAAAGCCTTGTCATCTCCTCCTGTCTTTCCTTCATCCAGTACATGGAGCTCTCATTTGAAAATGGCAACTTCTGTTCCTTTTGGAGTGTTTGATTCTTTGAATCTTGTCTTCATGAGTATTTGAAAGTGATTCTTAACACTGGAGAATTGCTTTCCTGTTCTTTGTAGTGATTCAGATGGAGTTTCTATGTCTGGTGTCTGTTTCACTTTTCTTCAAAAGATAGGTTGCTTAGCCACTAGTATGTCTTACCTGTTTTACTCTTGAAAGGCTCTAAATAATATTGAAAGTAATGCTGTGTTTGTATTCCTATTCTTGTTCCTTTATTCAGCTGGAGGAGGTACTCTTAAGAAATAGCATGCGTATTGCAGTCTTTAAAAAGTATAATATAGAGTAGGAGGTTCCAAAACCCCAAAAATGATATTTTGAAAGCTAAGTTCATATGATACGGAAGTCTCCAAAGTAGGAAGAAACATTGCTGAGAATAAAGTTCATACTATTTACAGAATTTATAAATTGAATTTGTCTACTCTTTGTGATTGTTTTATATAGAATGTAAGTGCTTCATAGCTTCCATGTTTTAATTTTTTTTAGGAAGAACAGAATCGAGGCAAGCCCAACTGGGAACACCTGAATGAAGATTTACATGTACTTATCACTGTGGAGGATGCTCAAAACAGAGCAGAAATAAAGCTGAAGAGGGCTGTTGAAGAAGTAAAAAAGTTACTGATACCTGCAGTAAGTATTTGTATGCAAGCCTTTGATTTCCATTTTCAGAAGGTTCTTTTGAAATACAACTAATTTGCTTCAGGAGTAAGCGTAAGCTTGCAGAGTAGCATCCTAAAAGGAAGTAGAGATATGATTTTGTAATACTCTAGTGATATTTAAACTGCCTCATCCCAGACTGAATTATTCCTTAGAAGAAAATAGAGAGAGGTTTTTTTAAGGAGACTTTTTTTTTTTTTTTGTCTGAGATACAGATACAGGAAATAGTTACCACCTTTAAAAGGCAATGCTGAACTGTTACAAACACTACTTTTCTCTTTCCTTTCAGTATTAGTATTCTTCACTTCAATGAAGTATGACATGCTTTTATGTTTCACTTCTAGATGATTCTGCTACTTTAAGAAATAAAGGCATGTTTTTTTAGATCATCACATTAAACATTTTGCAAAGAGAACAAATCCCTTTAGTATCAAAAAAGTTTGCTGTCAGTATACTGAGGGAAAAATGAAAATAGTGAAACTGAAAAATGGTTGTCTTTCACATTTCCTGATAGTACAGACTGAGTTCTGCACATCTAGATGACTTGAATACTTTTTCAGAGACCAGAATTACCCTGTGAGAGCCCTTCTTTTAGATCTTCTCTGCATTCTCACTCAAAGCAAGGTGACTCAAGTGTGGCTGTATAGTGCATCCCATGCCATTAACTTGTATCTTTACCACCACTTCTGTGCCCCTGTAAAATGATAAGAATAAATCAGATCTTTTTCTGTGGTGGAAAAATTTTCCACATTACAAGGAAAATTGAGACTATCTTGCAAAAGAAAGTGGTAGGTGGTATTAAAATGGCCTACTGATTTTGGGTACTTAGTGAATGCTAATAGATGCTGGCTGTGAGGAAACTTGCGGTGACACATGCTGTCTCTATAAGCAGATTTATTCAGAAGACATTTTTAGAAATTACTAAAGATAGGGAGAGAGACTTAATTTCTGAATTACCAAAAAATGGTAGAATATTAAGCAGGAGGTACAAAAATAGTGATTTAAATCTCTTGACATTGAAGTTTTCAATTTCTGAAAGGAACAGACAACTAGAGAAAGTAGATCTTCAGAATTTACTCACATACTAAAGAGACCTTGAGTTAAAGATTGAGTTTATAGCCAGGATTTTTATGTGGGCAAAACTTTGAAACCCTTATGTTCATTCTTTAGCTACTACAGAGCAAACAGTTTAGAAACCAAACTTCTGTGTGAATTAAGTTTGTCAGGTTCATTCTTCTACCTCCCCCTTACTGTTGACTAATATGACTGGAGGGTCAACTTCAGGATGATAGGTTACAAACTTCCAGTATGTCTGAAGTACTGGTGTGTATACTCTGTGTATGTTTGTGTTACACTTGTTTTGTGGAACTGTGGGATGGGTGTGTTCTGAGCCTCAAAAAAATGTAATGCATTAGTAGTTCTTTCATTGTGAAAGTGACAGCCAGCTCTTTGTCATGAAAGCACTCTGCCTCATGCAGTAGCCTAATTGGGGAAGCACTGTAATCCTGATTTCAGAAATAATTGTTTTTCCCCTTTAATGAAAAATAACAACACAGGGCTAACTACTGTCCAAATAGAACACAACTTGAAATACTCTTTGTCAGTTCACTTCATTACCATCTTTATATATTATGCATATGCATAGAGATTTGGATTGTACATATTACTTGCACAAGAGTTAAAGGTCTGTTGGCTCTAATTTCTAAAAATCATGCCTTGCTGGAACAGGTATGTGTAGTACATACTAATGAATTAGTGTATAGGTGAACTTGGGTTTGTACTACCTATTGCATCTGTTCAATTAGCATGAAAAGTGGAATTGGGCTTCAGGCAGTTTGAGAGTTGAAAAATTCAGTTTAGTGTTAAAAGATAGGAACTGAAAACTTCTGTGAGAGTAGTCATAAACCTTCAAATAATCAGGGTAAGCATAAGGAAAAAAGGGAAGTCCTAGTGAATTACAGCAATAGAACGGAAATATTGGAAGATTCCAAAGATACTCTAAAATGTAAGAATGGAAAAAGTAAGATTCCCTTTCATGTGATAGAATACCTGAAACTATTAGTGTTTTTCAGATAAAGGATTAACTTGGAAAAAAATAAGTTATGTATTTCTATTCTGTCCAGCTTGATTAAAATTTGGGACTATGTAGGAGAGAAGACTCATTTTCATCTTGCCATACGATGTGACAATGCATTGGGTTTGAGATCAATTTCAGAAAAATGCTCGTATTCTGAGTGTTCAGAGATGGAAATTAGTTGCTAATTTTTTTGAATGATCATTTATTTTTTGTACTCAAGATGTTAAAAAGCCTAATTACATTTTCTAAAACAGTGCAGAAATAGGCACATTTCTTAAAGTGGATTTCTATTTGAATGTACTTGGGTGAACAGATACTATTTCAGTACTAAAGTGTATTTGTTACATTTATGAATCTGAATCATTAGTGATTTTTTTTCCTTGTGGATGTGAATTAATATTTTCTCTTTTCACTTTCTCCTACATTTTACCAAGATAGTGATACAGTCAAGTAGTTTATCTTTAGAAATGAAAAGCACAACTTGAGGAAGATTGGCTGAGCAAGCCATTTTTTTTCCTCCTTGAGGAGAAAGGCCAACTTTTTTTTTTCATTATTACTCATTTGTATTTAATCTACATTTCTTTAGTATGAAGCAATTTTTAAAATATTTTTGGCTGTACTTCAAGTTCCCTCAGATTAATTCTCTTCCTGTTCCCATAGCTCAGTGAGATACTGGTCTTTATCTACACCTGCAAGATCATACAGTATTACTTCTTTCATGTTTTTCTTCAAAAAAAGCAGAATTAATAAAGCAGTCTGCAGATTCTTGGGATCACATCAAGTTGTACTGTCCTTATGCCTCTTTCTGAAGTGAATCCTCCAGATCATTGATCTCTCTTTATTGTGGGAGCTTTGAGAGTTGTTTGTTATTTGCATGAGTTAAGTGCAGATGGGTGGCTCTCTTGCAAAAGAAAAGGCAAAAGATGCTCTGGATTGATTGTTCACTGCAGAACAGAAGAAAAAACTCAGAACCTGGTTAGGCATACATAATAAAGAAGTATAATATACTAAACCAGAAAATCATTAAGGGTTTGAAGTTGTTCTTGGAGCTCCTGAGCTGGAGGGCCAAACTCCTCTGCCAGAAATGTTACGCCTTCTGCATTTTGTAGGAAGTGATGAATAAATGTTTCTAGCTGAATGAGTTTATCTAGATATTCCTTGCATTTTACAGATGACAGGTCTAGTTTAATTGCTAATTCACCTTTATACTAGCTGCTTTTGTAAGGGATGAGGCACATATGACAGAATTCAAATTACAGACAGATCCTTTATACCCCATTTTCTTTTGATTCCACACGTTTCCTTTCTGAGGAAAAGACTGTATTTCTCGTTTCTACTTAGCTATTCTAAGTTGGTCTGGAATCTGTGTTGTTCAGATTTTTCTATTGCTTTTCTTATGCTGGGGCAGCTGTAGTTTTACTTGGTTGTTGCCTCCATCTTCTTGGAAGGCAACTACAACACAGAATTATTAAGTGATGCTCCCAGTCAAATTCTGTATATCATTTGTGACTGCAATGTAGAATTTTACGGTTGTGATGGGTAGGAGATAATGTTTCAGTAGAAGCTTGTTTCATTTTGCTCCTACATTTGGATCTTGCCTGTAATAGTGATTTTAGACTTTTCAGTCTTGAATGTCTTCAAGTTTGGTTGTATGGGAAAGTAAATGTGATGTATATGACATGATTTTTACAAACTGGAACATTTTTTCTAGTGGTGCTTGGTATGTACTCATTCACTAACTGTCCTCGTGTTTAGTCCCTGTTACCAGAGATGTTATCTTGATGGTATTTCTGGTTTTAGTCACACCTATATACGACACATTTTCTTTATATAACAGGAGAGAATATTGTGAAGGGGCAATAGTATTGGTAGAGTGGTTTGTTTTTCAGTTAAATAAGCTAAAAGCATTTCTTTCTAAAAGACTGCTTTCAGCACGTGTGATGAAGTGGAGCTTGTTTATTAATTAAGTGAATTTCTAGTATTTTCCTTATAGGTGTGGTTGTAAATTTTCCTTGTGGTTTATTTTCAGCTACTTAGGGTAAACTGAAGGTTGTCTTAAGTTTTACCCTGGGAACTTTGTGTGCTGTGAATTCCATTGCAAAATAGAGAGAAAAAAAAATTTAAGAATGTTTAACCATGCTTTAGACTTAGTTTAAAAAAAGAACATAGTTAATAATAATGTAATACTGTACATAATTTGTTGCTCTGTAATTAAGACTAGCAAAAGCTTGAGATTGGAAAGATACTAGGAGAAGATTTCATTTTTTTATTAGCCATCTAATAAACCACAATAAATTCTGCATGCAAGTTTGACTGTCTTGAATAGCTCTTTCTAATTCATTCCTGCATGGCATGTTGGTTTTACATTTTTGCTTTTACAAATGAGAATATTGTGCTGCCTTGCACAGTTTCCCCGTTGAAATGTTGGTCATGCTGTGCAATCCATTGTTTGCTGCTTATTCAGTTGAAGTAATGAAATTAATAAGTGATACAGTAGCAGAAGAAGGATGCTGCTGTCCTTAGGAGCATTTTAGGAAATTCCTACGTGATGCCTGTTTTGTCAGTTCCCATACAAGTCTCTCAGGGTGAATGATCAGACAGGAAGCTGTGCACGAAGGGCAGCGCAGCAGCCAAATGGCTTGGCAGCGATTACTGGATAACACAGTAAACTTTTTGATGTGGGGGAGAGGTGATAGCACCTTATTTTTAGTAGCATGAAGCAGGCTTAATGTTTCCATGGCTCTATGAGCTGAGGGTTGCTGCACTCCTGCCATTCCTTCATGATTTGCTGTTCCTGATCCTGTTTTGCATCAGAAAGCCCTGGCCTTCCTCTGAGGGTGTGGGGAGTCCATTTGGTGGAGAGCTGAACCTCCCTGAAGGACTTGCTACAGAGTCA